TGGTGACCACAGGGGTGGCCATCCTTCAGTTGGCTGGCACCTGAAGCTCCACCCACTAATTAGACTGTGCTTCGCTTGTGGGGTGGGGGTGGATCCCCCCCAGACCCGCCAATCAAGTTGGCAGGGAGTTCCCACACATCCAGGCAGAGGGAATGCCTCCTGTCTCAGCCCTGGACCGCCTCGTGGTTTTAGATCATTCACAGCAGCCACAGCAACGGCCTGTGTGTGCCCGTGTGGATTCCGGATTCTGGAAGGTCAGGCTCCAGCCATGTCAGTTCAGCACTGGGCTGGAACACAAACAGAGGCGATGGCTTGTCAGAAAACACTTGGTGAGAGTTCGGGGAACTCTGGGCTTGCAGAACTAGAGCGCAGCTCCCCGGATCACCAAGGCTACTGGAGAGAGAGACGCCCATCAGAGCCAGGAGCTGCACTGCAAGTCGTGTTTGAGAATCTGGAGGGGGGCACCTCAGGCAGGGTGGTTTGGACCACAGGGGGAGAAACCTCTGGGAGGTTTCTCTCTCTTGGCCATCCCAGAGGCCAGGATGATGGGATGGGAGGAGGCTGTTTCGGGAGGCTGGCTGCCCGAAGTGCAGCAGCCGCCGCAGTGGGGCGGGGAAGACCACATGTCTGCCGTTCACAGAGATTTCTGGGAGTCACTGTTTCGTCTGACACTGCGGGAAGGGGGTGGAGTCAGAAGCAAAGCTTTGGGGCCCAGGAGAGGCACTCCAGAGGCAGGCATTTAAGTCTTCTCTGGGAAGAATGTCAAAGAGGGCCCTGAGGGTCCAATCCCTCCGTTGGCGGCAAGGGAACTACTCGCGGTCCCCGCAATTCCCAAAGACAGTCCTGGGAACCCTGAGTCAGTATGCGTCCCCAACTCTAAAAGGTCACCTCATGAAGCCTCTACCCCCTTCTTCCAAGCCTCTTTCCCATGAACGCTCTCTTCGCCCCTTCTCTCCTGGGGTCCCCAGTTCTGCCTCTCTAGTCCTCTGTTCATTCCCCTTCTCCTTGCCGCCTGTGTCCCCCATTCGTGCACATCCTGTCTCCTGGGCTCCTTAACTTGACTCCTGCCTCGCCAGGCCCGCTTTATTCCCCTTCCTCTTCCGCTATCAGTATCCCCCATTCATTCACTCTCCTGCTTCCAGTATCCGCATTCATCACTCAGCCTCCTGCAGACCCCCGGCTCCTCTTCCGGCTTCCCTGGTTTTCCCCTCCGGCCCCCACGCCCGTGCCGCCCGTCTCGCCCGTCCCGAGGCTGGGGCTGGTCCCTCGGCCTCGCCTGATCCTCCCACTCCTCTCAGCTCGCGGGGCACGGGATCCAACTCCCCCCCAACTCCCCCGGAGCCCTCTCCGCCACAGCCCGGCTCGGCCCCGCCTGGCTCGGCCCAGTATTGGGCCCATAGTCCCCCTCGCCTCCTCGCCCCCTCGCCCACTCCACCTGCAGCTGAGGCTCCCGAGGCCGAGGCTCTCCTCCTGGCGCGACCCCCACTTGCCTCCATCCCCTGCCCTGATTGGCCGCTGCTTGACAACCGACCCTCACAACAAAACCTCCGGCTCAGAGCCCCGCCCCCTCACCTCACGCACCAATCAGTCGCCGCGAGCTCTCCACCTCCAGCCAGGTTTGACCAATCGAAGCAGGCGCTTCTGCCGCTCTTCCTAGGTACTCGCCCCCTTTTCCTGAATTGGACTAATCATGAGGAAGGAGACTTCAAGAGCCGCCCCTCGGCTTCTAATGAACCAATGAGGGCTGCCATTTCTTTGGTCCCGCCTCCGTCTCAAGCTTTCCCTTTCCTCCCCTTTCTTTCCTCTCCCTCGCCAGAAGACCCTCCGATGCCGTCTGCGCCAATCGCTTTGTAACCATCCCTATTTAACCAATAAGCGCTCGCCTTATTGGAAAACCAATTCCCAGGTAGCCAATGGAAAGGGTACGTCAGGAGCAGCGTGAAGCGGCGGCCCTTCCATCTTGGAGTGGGGCAAGGCGGAGACGAGGTCTTCGCCCTTTGCTATAGTTCCTACTACTTCTCTTTAATCGGTCTCAGGACTTTGCCCCTCTTCTTTGGCTCTGACAGGAGACCTACAGGGAGACGGAGACTGATCCCGGGTCCGAGCCGGGAGCAGAGCCCCGGAGCGCTGCACCACGGCTGCGGCGTCGGTGAATGGATGAGTGGGCTGCTCCTTTAAAAGGACCACCAACTAGAAATCCGAGAAAGTCCGGCTTTATTGGACTAGTGGTAGGTGGGCTTAGGGAAGGGCCGTAACTGGCGGGAGCCTGGGCCCCACACGTGGTTGGGCCGCCCGGGAGCCGCTTAGGAGGGACTGGACCCCACAGGAGGTGCCCAGGGCCTGGTGCCTAAAGACCTCCGAAGCTCCCCGTTTATCTGCCAGCCTATCACTGCAGCTCAGGGCAGCCTGATCGCTCGTAACGCCTCCGACGACCCTAAGAGCAGGAATCCTGTTCCCATTTACGGATAAGGAAGCTGAGGCCTAGATTAAGGCGCTTGTAATAGGCCACACGACCAAAAAGAATACTGTCGGACTTGAACCCTTGGTGTTAAAGCAAAGTCTGTGGGTTTCTCCACTGAACTGCACTCACCCCCAGAGAGAGGCAGAGGGTTCACCCCTCACGTTGTGCTTTTGGGGAGTGGGTCGAGAGACATATGTGGGCACTATCAAAAGAGAACTAGATTAGCAGAATAAAATCTGATCAACCCTGTCCACTCTGTATTATTTCCCCCTCAACTTTTCATTGTGAAAAGCTCCGCAGAGAAACTTGAAAGAATTCTACGATGATGTATAATAGTTTAATGGTACAGTCCGCCTGGTGGATAACCCAACACTTGCTAATTTTTCCATATTTGCTTTGCACCATTTAGGTGTTTTCTCTGAGCGATTTGGAAGTTGTCAACATCAAGACATTTTACCCCTAAATGACACGAAATACTGAGCATGTACCTCTTAAAAATAAGGCTCTTGTCCTACACAACCGTCGTATCCCCACGCAAAAGAAAACAGAATTCTCTGAAATCCAGTCCAGATTTCCCCAATCATCCCCAAAAGCTTTAAAAGCTTTTTTTTTTTTTTTTTTCCTAACTGGGAAACAAACAATATTCACCACACTTGGCTCTTTTAAGCTCATTCTGTTTCAGTCCCCCATTTTTTTTTAATGACATTGATCTTTTGAAGAGATTGATTGGGCCTTTTACCTTGTAGATTGCTCTATATTATGATTTTTGTCTCACTGTTTCCTGCTAGTGTCATTTCCCTTGTTTCTTTCCCTCTGAATTTTTTGCTAAGTGGAAGTTAAAGCTTGATTAGGTTCAGGATCAGCATTTTAAAACCCTTCATATTGAAGTATAATACACCTACCCCACAGGGCATGTACTGTAAGTGTAAAAGGGAGTTTTCACAAACTGAACATGCTCAGGTCCAGAAGAACATTCCTAGCATCCCAGAAGCCCCCATTGTGCTCCCTTACACCCCAAGAGAGACAACTATTCTGATGCCATCAGTTAATTAATTTGCCTGCTTTTTTTTTTTTTCTATATAAATGGACTCATGCAGCATGTACTTTTCTGTATCTGGGATCTTTTGATATTGCATATGAGGAATCCGATGTGTTACTCCTTGTGGTTATAGTTCATTCACGTTGTGTAACCTATGACTGATCTTTTAGGCTAGATCACTTTTTTTTCAGGGAGCTGTCCTGTGCCTTATAGATGTTTGCAGGGTGTTTAGCAGCACACCCAGCCCCTACACACTAGATGCCAGTACCACTCTCATACCAGTTGTGACAACCAAATATGTCTCAAGACCACAATTTATGTCTCCCTTCTACTCTTGATGGGCATCTGGGTCGTTTCCAGCTTGGTACTAATACTGCTGCTGCCGATGAACATTCTAGTACATGCCTTTTAGTGGATGTATATGTGCATCTTGGTTGAGTTGTTCATCGTTCTTGTTCACTGAATGGATGGATGAAGAAATGGATGGGGGAGGGTGGGTGGATGGGTGGATGGAGCAGAACCTAGGAGCAGAATTGTTGAGCCAAAGTTTAGTTTTACTAGATATGGCCAGTTTTCCAAAGGGGTTGTATAGATTGACCCTTCCACTGGGAAAGCTATTTGAGAGTTCCAGTTGCTTCTCATCCTCCCAACTCTTACTCATTTTATGCATACTAGTGGGTGTGTGGTGGCATTTTATATCTTGGTTGATTAATGAGTTTGACACTTTCATGTGTTTATTGGCCATTTTTTAAGCTAACATTGAGTGCTTTTTACGTGCCACTTCCGGTCCTCACTGCTTTACAAGTCTTTTTTTTTTTTTTTTAAAGAGATTTATTTATTTTGAGAGAGTGTGAATGAGAGCGAGAGAGGGGGGAGGGTTAGAGGGAGAAGCAGGCTCCTTGCTGAGCAGGGAGCCCGATGTGGGATTCGATCCCGGGACCCCAGGATCATGACCTGAGCCGAAGGCAGTCGCTTAACCGACTGAGCCACCCAGGCGCCCTACAAGTCTTATTTAAGACAACAACAGGGCCATCCCATTTCACAGATGGCTAAATAGTGGCTGGTAAGATGCAGAGCTGGGATGCCGTTCTTTGCAGTCTAATGTGGAGCTCCCGAGTTCTGGAGCATGCACCTTGGCCTTGCCACTCACCCTCTGTCATCTGGGCCACCCTAGCCACGTTGTTGAGATCTAACCAGTTGTTTGAAGGTGGCCATGGGACCATCTGCAGGGGGGCCGCAAAGACTGAACATTCCAATGGTGAGAGGGAGCAATTGAGGAAAGGGGCCAAGGTGGGTGGGGACCGGGGGAGTCTCAGGCTATAGATAAAGAAGGGAAGGAGAAGAAGCCTCCGCTAGAACTTGTGAAACATGAGGTATGGACGGCAAATGAAAAGTGTGTTTATGTGCAACTAATGAATCGTTGAACACTACATCAAAAACTGATGATGTACCATATGTTGGCTAACTGAACATAATAAAAAAGAATGAAAGGAAAGTGTGTTTATTTACAGGAAAGTCATGAGAAGCAGGAGAGACAGGGCTGCTGGGAGGCGGGGTGGCAGTGAGGTCAGGCGCTGGAGGGGACGGTCATTTGCTGGCTGTAGAGAGCCCAGGGGCCAGGCCGTGGAGGCGGGTTCTTGCTCTGGCAGCTTCGGCTTCGGCCGAGCATCAGACGAAGACTTTCAGGAACTCCACCAGGCGTGGGTCCTTGTGGAGCTTTTCCTCCAGAGCCAGGTACTTGAGCGGGGCCAGCTCCTTGTGGCTGAAATCAGAGGGAGGAACAGGAGGTGGTGAGGGCTCACAGAGCTCCACCCCAGCCTCCCGAGGGTCCTCTCCCGGCTCTCCGCTCCCCCTCACCGGTGGAGCCGCTGCTCCAGGATGCGGATGCGGAACATGGCCTGAGAGCAGTAACTCAGGTACCAGTCCTCGACCTCGGCCGTCAAGGTCACCTGGTTCTCCTGGTACCACTGCTGCTTCTTCTGCAGCTCCTGGGTCTCCTGCGGATGAGGGGAGGAGAGAGCAGGTGGGGTTGAAGAGGGCTGGCCCTCACCCAGGCTGCCTGCCGAAATCCCGTTGGTCCCGGGACAGCCTCAGGAGGGCTGGCCCCGCCGCCACCACCCACAGGAGCCAGAGCGGCAGAGGCGGGGGCCACAAAATATCTTGCGTGGGAGCCAGTGGGGACATGTTTAGAGGGATATCGTGTCCAGGAGGAGCAAGGCTCAAGACAGAGACGGCCTTGTGAACAAGTTTCTAATGTTTTCGGAGCTTGTCTGCAAATGAAGGGCATTACACGCCCCTGGTGCACAGCATAGAGCTTGTTGTGAAGATTAAGTGGTATAATGTGTGCAAATCACATGGTATGTAGCGGAAAGAAATGGGACAAAGACTAGGAGTTGTTGTACCCCCCTGCCATCCACCCACCCATGTCATCCAGCCCGCTATCTACCTTTCCACCCAACAAGCAAGGACGAGGAAGGACAACTCTGCCTTTTGGCCACTCTGAGCACTGATAATATTCATCCCCTCACCAGTCCCTCCCAAGTGTTGGAGATGGTGAGCAGACCGCCCCGGGTCCATTCTCTGGATGCGGACCTGGAGGTTCCCTCCCCTGCCCCAGGCGGGGGGCCCAGGCCGCACCTTTTCAAAACGGGCCTGGATGAGGTTGGCCTTGTCGATGAGCCGCTGCTTGAAGTCACTGAGGCACTCGTCCTTGACCCGCATGGCCTGCCAGCGCGTCAGCTTCTCTCCCGGAGGGAGCTGGGCCAGGAACGGGGCCAGGTAGTCCAGCTGGGCCTCCACCTGCCGCAGGTGCTCCTCGTGCATCACGCGCTCCTGTGGGCGGTGTCGGCGGAGTCAGGGCGCCAGCGCAGGCTGCAGAGACCCCCCAGACCACCTCCGCAACATGTGACGACCCCACACGAGGCCTTAAATCCAGATCCCGGAGCCTGGCACCTCTGGGACTAGGCATCAGAGGGGACCTCTGTGCTGTCCCTCATAGCCAACTCTGTCTTACGTGAATTCACGTCTCTCTGCCTGAGCCTCAGCGCGTCACTCACGCTCGGCAGATGCTTGAGCAATAAATGGTAATAAATGGTGGTTATAGCAATGTTAAATCAAAAGCTGCCAGTAAACCCCCCCTCCTTTTTCACTGCCCTCCTTATGGCCTGTGTCGGCAGATAGGGGCCAGTGAGGTTGGAGATGTGCGGGTCAGCCCCCATCCCCCAGGAGTCTGAGAACCAGTTATCTATGCCCTGTCCTGCCACGCCAACCCCAAACTATTTTTAGAAATCTCTACTTGGTTGGTGTAGGGGATTTAGAAACTGGCCTTGAAAACCCCAGCTGGGCCTTGCAGCTTGAGGGTGTAACCCAGATGTCCTGTGCTGCAGGTGCCCGAGAATTCAGGCTGTGGCCAGAGTCTGCTCACTGGGGTGACAGGCCCAGGTCCTGAACTTGAGGAGAGGCCTAGGTGGAGGTGGGTACAGGATTTTCCTTCTGTCCCCATGCAGTAGAGGCCTCGGCTTGGCCATAACCCCTGGAGGTGGCAGGGGTGTGGGGCAGACCTGGTCTGGATCCTGCATGCTCTTTGGTGTTCATTGGAGAAATGGCCACTCAGCAAGGATGACCACAAGGGTGACCTTGTGGATGGATGACCACACTGACATCAGGAGCGTCATCCCCTATAAAGGGCTTCCTGGCAGAGTCCCTAATCATCCTCACCACCCTGGAGGACTGGGGGGGGGGCGGGGGGAGGGTCCAGGAAAAGCCAAGGCCGGGGCCAGGGAGTAAGGCTCACCATGGCCTCCCGATACTCTTTGCTCTTCTCATTGCGCTTGGCGTCATAGATGGAGATGGTCAGGGTGTGCACCTCCTCCTCCTCCTCTCGAAGCTTCAGGATCTCCAGCACCTGAATCAGGAAGTGGGGGAGGGCATGGTTAAGACACCCTCCACCCTCGCCATCTCCCACCTGCCCACACTCCCATGGGACCACCTCCAGCTCCGACTCCCAGGCCTGATGTCTGGACAGCTTCTCCTCGTTCTTCAGCTTCATCATGGCCTCGTACTGGTAGAGCAGCTTCTTGGTGTGCTCCATGGGTTCCACCTGGGACAACAACAAGCACAGTGACACAGTGATGGGGGACACAGCAATGGCTAAGGTGGTAGGCGGACTCTGGAGCCAGACTGCTTGGGTTCAAATCTCCCGCTGCCATTTTCTAGCTGTGTGACAACAAGCAACTGACTTAACCTCTCTGGGCCTCAGTTTCTTCATCTATAACAACACAGATAATAAAAGACGACAAACTGGGGGCTCAGAGGGACTAAGGAACGTGGTGGGAGCGAGAGGGTTTCAATGAGGAAAGCCAGCCCCGCAGAGGTGGTAGGACTAAGACCCTCTCCTACTCCAGTGTTGGTCCCGGGACCTGGGGACGGCTCTGTCCAGGACCGGGGGGCAAGGGACAATAAGGAGTCGTCTTGGCCTGCTGGGTGGTCTTTCTTGGTAGGAAAGGGGAAGGTTTTCAAAGGAGCTGCAGAGACAAGGGTCCCCGGATGGGAGCTCCTGATTTTCCCAAGGAGCGGAGGTGAACTTCCGAGCTGGGAACCACGCATTTCCATCCCAGTGTTCCCAAGTTGCGGGGACAGCACAGAGGGCCCCGGGACCTTCTCCCCGCCCGCCCCAGCACACCCTGCCGGGCCCAGCCCCCAGGACCACCTCAAAGCTGATGCACATGTCGGGCGTCATGATGATCTTGTTGCCCTTGCTGTCCACCTCCGTGCGCCGCAGGAACTCGCGCTTGGAGGCCGTGATGCGGTCGTCCCAGCAGTGGTAGCGCAGCCGGATGCGCTCCTCCAGGATCAGAAACACGCGCTCGGCTACGTCCTCGTCTGCGGGCTTCTCAGGGTTGCGGGAGAACCGCTCTGTGATTTTCTGGGAGGCCAGAACATCATAGGATGGGAGGTGGGAAAGGGGATTTCTGTGCGTGCCCCTGAGGGCGGAAGTAAAGGACACTCAGGGACACTGGGCTCTGGGGTCTTTGGGGGAGTTTATGTGAAGCAGCCCTTCCTAGCCAGACAACGGGCTCCCGTGGCCCGGCCACCTCGGCCCTGTGTGGGGCTGCATTTCTTCTCTAGCTCTCTCCACAGGAGTCTCTTTGCTCAACTCCAGAGATGGGGAGCTCACCACCCCTCCAGGCACCCTGCTGTATCACTAAACATTCCTTACTGCTAGGAAGAGCTCCTTTGGTATATAGGAGCCATTAAACACAGTTGCCAAACCATCCATTTGTAATGATGTGGAGAAAAAAGTGCACAATTTAATGTTAAGGGAGTGACACAGGGATTCTACCTTCACACACACACACACACACACACACACACACACATTTCAAATAAGTTAGAAAAGACTCCCCAAACCAAACCTATTAAGACATGATAATATTTGAGAGACACCCTTCTGAGTGTGCCTTATTATAATAGTAAGGAAATAACACACTCCTGGCCCAGTGATGGAGGGCGCAGTCTGGCATCAGGCAGCCTCAGGACTGTAAAACCGGACAGGGCCCTTGGGAAAGATGCGGCTCCAGAGTTGGAGCTGTCCCCATCCCAGGGTGACCTTAGCTTGCCAGAGAGAGTGGGCACCCTGTCCCCAGGCCCAACGAGAGCTCACCACCATTGGCCGGGGGTTTGACTCCGCGCTGTTCAGAGCCAACTTCTTGACCCTCTCCCCGAAATCCACGTGGCGGTAGGAGAGGAAGTCAGTCCGTCCCTGGTAATACTCCGTCATTGTCTTCGGTGTCTCCTCCCGCTTTATCAGGCCATCCACACGGGCTGTTTCGTAAAACTCCATGACGCGGTCCATCTCAGGTTGCATGGACTTGTACGAGTGCACTGCGGTGGGAGGCGGGGTCCCGAAAGTCAGCGCAGTGAGACCAGGCGCGCTGGCCCCTAGCTGGAGAACACGACCCCAGGCCCCAGGGGGAAGGCATTGTCCATGAATGCTCATGGATGAGCAGGAGTTATGTAACCAATGCCCCACTGCTGGGTGCTTAGGTTGTTTCTAACCTTTTTGTTCTTATAAACAATACAGTGGTGAACATCTGCAGCATGCATTTTTAAATTCTTTTTTTTAAAGATTTTATTGATTTATTTGAGAGAGAGAGTGAGAGAGAGAGAGCACATGAGAGGGGGGAGGGTCAGAGGGAGAAGCAGACTCCCCGCTGAGCAGGGAGCCCGATGCAGGACTCCATCCAGGGACTCCAGGATCATGACCTGAGCCGAAGGCAGTCGCTTAACCAACTGAGCCACACAGGCGCCCGCATTTTTAAATTCTTGCCCATTATTTGCTTGGGACAAATTCTTGGCAGTAGCGCTGCTGGTCAAAAAGCATACATATATTTTTTTTAAGATTTTATTTATTTATTTGAGAGAGAGAGAGAGAGAGAGAGAGAGAGAGAGAGAGAGAGAGAGCATGAATGGGGTGAGGGGCAGAGGGAGCAGCAGACTCTCCGCTGAGCAGGGAGCCCAATGTGGCGCTCGATCCCAGGACTCCGGGATCATGACCTGAGCCCCCCGGGCTCTCCAAAGCGTACATATGTTAAAGCTATTATTATTTTGCCCAACTGCTTTCCAGAAAAGTTGCGCCAATTTGCTGTCCCATCAGTAGGGCCAGGGAGCAGCCTTCTGCTGCTTTGCTCATGCCTTGTGAGACTACTTTTGTCATCTTTGCAACATGAGGCTTATGAGACGGTCCCTTACCGATTTCCTTCCTTCGTTCCTTCCCTATATTTCAACCACCAAGTGAGATTGATCATTTTTTAAGATATATATTGACACTATGTTTTTCTTTTGTGCATCCTTGGTTAAGGCTGTCGATTCTCTTTCAAGACATGTCCTTCCTTCACTTCCCTGCCTGTTGGGCTCATGGCCACACCTCTGCCCTCTGCATCGCCCTCGTGGGGACATTTGTTGGTTTTGTTGCTCAGCATTCTGACCCCTTTCAATGTGGCCCCTACTGTGTGCCCAGCCCTAACCACAGAATGGGCATGTGGCCCTGGTTTTTGACTTTCCTGGAGGGACATTTGTCACATTTCCCTGGATTTTCTGTGCTTCCCCTCACCTCCCACACATCTGATTTGCTTAGGCAGGTGGGGCGGTTTCTGTTGCTTGCCACATCCTGGGCTCCCAGCTGGACTGGCAGTGGGGCCCACTCACCACGCAGAGCCTGGGGATGGCCTGGCTTGAAGTAGTCGATATTCAGGCCCGTGCTCTTGTTGATGTGTTTCAGCTCTAGCATGTCCTCCCGGTTCTGGTACCACTCCTTTATCTCCAAAGTCTTGGTACCTGTGGGGCCCAATCGGTGCTTGCTGCAGCCAGGCCAGCTCCCCCAGCCTCCGTTCCCCCCGCGCTTCCCAGCACACGGAGGCCAGCGGGGCCCACACTCACACCAAGAGACTGGCAGTGACGTGCCCAAGGTCACACAGAGTGCTGGGGAACCCAGTTCTCCTGCCCCCGCAGCCGGGGCTGCCTGCCTTACACTCCAAGTCCTCGTAGGTGGTGAGGCGGCACACGAGGCCGTTGCTGTTGAGATACGGTGCCCACTTCTCCAGCTTCGCCCTCTTGTACTGGATCACCTTCTTCCCATTTGGGCAGCGGGTCTCGAACACTGCAGACACAGAGTGGGCTGGGGTCCCTCCTCCCCACATCGGGGGACGGGAGGGCCGACCCCACCCAGCCGCTCATCCGATCATTGCGCTAAACTCCTCCGGGCCCTAGGCCCGCTCCAGGGCGGCAGAGGGAGGTGGTCAGCAGGGTAGCTCCTGCCCTGGGGCAGTTCTCAGGTTTGAGCCTGAGTGCAGGAGCAGTGCCCGACCACGGCACTCACTCACTGCCTAGCCTCTGCCCGGGTAGCTCTCTCTGCCGGAAACACCATCCCCTCCTGCCCTTATTGGGCTGACTTCTGATCCCTCAAAACTTAGCTCAGACTCCTCCTCCTCCTGGAAGCCCTTCCTGCCCACCTACGCCCAGCACCCCCCCCCACCCCCGAAAGCAGGGGGCTGGGCTGGGTGCTCCTCCCCTGGTTCCCATGATGCCCTCTCTAGCTCTTCCCACTCAGTTGGAATAGCCTGTGCCCTCCCTGTGGGCCAAGGCACTCCCAGACAGGAGCCTCAACAGCCAGTAGATGCCGGCATGGAACTCCAGTGTCGCTGCCCTGCTGCTTTCTCGGCCCGCTCCTCCCTGGTCCTGACACCTCCACTCACCTGGGCCATCTGGGTACTACGCTGCTTGGCCTCCTCCTGGTGAGGGGAATGACCATGTCCGGGTCCTCCCTCATTACCCACACCCCATCACCCAGCTCAGGTTAACCGAGCCCCCTCCTGTACACCAGACCCGTGTCAGGCCCTCAGCCACAGGGCTGAGTGCGTGAGGCAGGAAGGAGGTGGAACAGAGTCCCCACTCAGACCAGGGTGCACCCGGGTGCAACAGAAGGCAGGAGGGGTGGAAATGAGGGGCTGGGGCAGCCTCTGCTGACTCCCCCTGAACTGGTCCTGGGGAGGCGGGGGAATACAAATGCACAAATACCTTCCGGAGAGACCTCAATCTTCTCTACCCATGAGGATGGCATGTCGAAACTCTTATCTTCATCCTCCTTGCCCTGTTGGGAGAGGTGGGGAGGGGGCAGGCTCTTGTCAGGGCTGGGCCTTGCAGGGGCAGCTAGAGGCAGAGCCTCTGTCTTGCCCCCCAGGGCCAAGCCACGGGTGGCTGTCAGCTCCCCCAGGGGAGCCAGAGGTCCCGGGCAGTTCTGACCTGGTAGGGAGGAAGGGGAGGAGGCGCAGGAGCCCTCCCTTGACCCACCTGACTAGGACAGCCATCCCCTGCCCTGCATGCCCCATGTTCGGTCAGTCAGCATGGGCACCGGGCACAGCCACAGGTCCTTCCTTAAGACAGAGGCTTCTGGAGTCAGGTGCCCCCAAGCCCCACCCTCCAGGACCCAGCCCACGCCAGCTAGGGGTCCTGGGCCAGTAAGTCCCGCAACAGCCCCGAGCCTGTTTCCTACCTGTTAACCAGACCCAGGGGAGGATTAACTGATAGAACGTATATAAACCACTTGGGACACTGCCTTGCTACTGTTTTTTTGGTTTTGTTTTCCTTTTCGAGCCTTAGTTTGCCCATCTGTAAAATAAGGCCCGCTTTACACAAATGGTCCACAGAAACCTCGAAGAGTTTTTCCCAATTTAAAACTGTTCCACAAACGTTGCTCACGTCTGGAGGCCAGCAGGGGGCGCCTGTGCCCTGAGATTTACTGCCAGGGAGGCTCTCTGGTCTCCAGAAATGAGGACGCTGCATCAAGCTCCCCACAGCAATGGTCTCATTTTATCCCCGAGCTGTCCGAAGGATAGAGAACAGAGTCACTGTTCAGAACCCAGCCTTGGGAGCCAGTCAGATCTCAGGTTCAAGCCCCAGCTCTGCCACTCACTGGCCATTGACCTTTGGGTAAGTTACTTCCCCCCTCTGTGTGTAAGTCTTCCCATCTGTAAAACGGGATGATGATAATCATAAACAATAATACTAACACCCCCCTCACCAGGTGGTTGTAAAGATTTGGACAAGTTAATTCAGACTAAGCTCCTGCTAATTCAGGTTAAGTGCCTACTGGGCTGAATTTTGTCCCCCTAATCATGTCCTGAGCCCCAGGACTGCAGAAGGTAACTATATTTGGAGATAGGATCTTTCAAGAGGTAAAGTTAAAATGAGGTCATTAGGGTGGGCCATAATCCAGTGTGACTGGTGTCCTTGCTTGAAGAGGAGATTAAGACACACGGAAAGATCATGTGAAGAAACAAAGACAACCATCTGCAAGCTAAGGAGAGGTACGTCAGAAGAAGCCAGCACGCTGACACCTTGATCTTGGACCTCCAGCCTCCAGGACCATGAGAAAATTAATTTCTGTTGTTTAAGCCCCTCAGTGGGTGGCACTTGGTTAAGGCAACTCTAGCCACCTGATACCCCTGGTCCTGTTCCTGTGGATGTAATTGATCCCATTCTCCACCCCCCCCCCCCATTTTACATACAGATGACGTATGATGAAGCTCTCCGTGATTGGGAATTTGCCCAAGATGTCATAGCCAAAAGCTAAGGCCTCTGGGCCCCTGACCCCCAGGCACAGGTTCTCGAGGGGACCTCCTGGAAGGGCTCCCGACTAGGAGATAGGAGAAGGATGCTGATGCCATGGGGAAGGCCCAAGGCCAATGAAGGGCTGAGAGGACAGACAAAAGCCTGGAAGCATGTGAGGGGGACCACGGTGGCTATGCAGGAAGGCCTGGAAGTGAGCCCAGGGCTTGTGGTCAAGGTCTTAGCACCCCTATTGCTGGCGACCTGCTCTTTACAGAAACAAGGCAACCATCAACCAGGGTGGACTCTATGTGGGCCTGGAGACCCAGATGCAAGTCCCCAGCCCTTCCCTACCCCACTGGGGGGGGGGGTCCTGGGCAGGTCAGTGGACCTGTCTGGGTCTTAGTTTGCCCATCTATATAAAATGAGAGCATGGTCCAGGCCCCTCTGCTTTGGGGAATCTATAATCAGTCTCTCTGGCCCATCCCCCCACCCCCCAATACACATACACAGGGTGGGGAATTGGTCAGGTTGGCCTGAAGCGGGACAGGGTATAAAGCCCCATCCCACTGCCCGGCCCCGCACCGCTGAGACCCACCAGGTTCTCCACATCTTCATCATCATTCATTCCGTCCTCCTCGTCCTCAGCCATAGACAGGTGGGCCTTATCTGTCCCCAGGAGCAGGTACTCCCACCTCACAGGGTCTCCCAGGTCAAACACCAAGTCCTGATGGGGGAAGGACCAGTTGAGCGCGCCCCACAGCCAGCACACCCCCTCCTGTTCCACAAGGAACAGCCGCACCCAGAGTAGAGGAGGGACCCGGGCCTGGGTCTCGGAGGAGCAGAATGTCGGCTCCTGGCAGCCTCCGAGAGCCCACGCCCATCCTCCTCATTTCAACAGGGAAACTGAGGCCCACCCCATCGTCCAGACTCCCCGTGAAGAAATCCTGCTGTTGGTCTCCGTGAGACTTGACAACTCTCTAGCCTGAGACAGGCCTGGGTGTGGAGGTTATCCTGCATGGTCAGGGGAGCGTCGCAAGCAGTGTTCAGAGCAGATGGAAGTCAGCAGGATTTTACGCGACAGGGAAATGGAGGGTTTGAAAAAGGGCCGCCTCACGGTTTTTACCCGTGCCGGGGAGAAGGGAAGTAGGCAGGCACACGAGGAATTGCACGGAGGCGGCAGGTGGGAATTTCTCTTCCGTGGGGTGGGGCTCCCACCTGCTTTTCATCCAGCCTACCTGAACTCAGGTGTACGGCTCAATGAATTTCCGTAAATTGGACACACCCTGGTTCCCTACACCCAGATCAAGAAATAACACATTGCCCACATTCCCGAAAGCCCTCTTGTGTCCAGTTATGACCTCCCCCAAACGTGTGCGTGTATTTCTAATGTATGTTAAGTGGACTGAGTTTTATATATATATATGTATACACACAGACACATTGTATGTGTATATGCATATATAAATTTATGGGAATTCATTGAAATGTACACTTAGGATGAGTGCACTTTTCTGCATGTATGTTGCACTTCAATACATTGTTTTTAAAAAAAAATCATTCATACAAACTAACAATCCACATTTTGTAAGGCTACACACATCAAAAGAGAGACACTAATCATATTCAGATCATTATGTATGGACAAAGGAGTGGGCTGTGGGGCTCAGCTATGGGGAAAGTCTGGAACTCTGTGGCAGCCAGCTCACCCCACAGGGGACCCCCCATCCCCCCCCAGGACTGCCTGTCACACCCGCCCCGCCCCAGGCCCAGTACCTTGCAGCCGTTCCAGCAGTCCTGCATGTTGACCCAGTAGTTCTTATGGTTCCAGAGGCTCTCAATGCCCAGGAAGTGGTCATGCTGGGTGCTGTAGCTGCGCCCCGTGAACGGATCGATGAAAAAGCTCTCAGGCACCTCACGCTTCCCCGACAGCACCAGGACCCAGGCGTGTACCCGTAGGCCATGCAAGGGGTCGATCTTTGCTTTCTCCACCTCCTGCACAGGAAAGGTGGGTGACCATGGGCCGATGGGTGGGAAGGGGGGTGTCAGGGGCACAAACATCTCCCCAGGGCTGGGGAACCAGCAGGAGAGCTGAGTTCTGGTCCAGGGTGCAGGTTTGGCTGGCTGCATGACCTTGAGGACATCACCCAGCTTCTGAGCCTGTCGTCTTATTGATACAGTGGGAGAGTCTGAGTTTATCTGTAGTTTACAAACTGGGCCCTTTGGCGCCCTAGAGTATCTGGGATTTACTGGCTTTCTGCATTGCCATTCTGGGTGAGATTTTATCCAAAGGAAGGTAGGGGGCACTGTGTGGCTTCCTTGTCTGCTTCCCTCCGGAAGAAGGGTGACTGTGTCATGTTCATTATTACATCCACAGAGCCTGGACGAGAGGAGATGCTCAGCAAATACTACACGGAAGGAAAGGAAAGGGAGGGAGTGAGGAAAAGAGTGGGAGAGGGGGAGAGATGAGAGTATGGATGGATGAAAGGAGAGCCGGGAGAATGGATGGGAGGATGCATGGGAGGATGCAGAGCTGGGAGGATGCATGGGGAGTGTTTGCAGGTAGGTCTTTAGGGAGAGAGTCTGGAACCAGGAGAATATCAGAGCCCAGCATAGAATGAATGGGCGGCCTCAGGAAACAGAGCTGATATTAGAAATCCATCGCAGAAGCTGGCTAACCACCAGTGAGAGATCCGCACATTGCTGGGCAGAGTTGGGGGGATGGCAGGGTATGGAGGAGGGGGGATTGGGATTTGGACCTGGGGTCCACGAACACATCCCCTCCGCAACCTGTGTCAGTTGTCAGTCGCTAGCCGCCTCTCCTGGAGAGCTGAGCACAGGGGCTGAGGATGTGGACCCACCAGGAGGCGCTGTTCCTCCTCCTTCCGCCGCTTCTCCTCCTCCGCTTTGATCTCCTGCTGCTTCTTCATTTCCTGCTCCTGCTCGAACCTGCTGCTCAGGTCTCTGGGCGGTTTAATGGCGTACTTCTTAGGTGGTACCTTTTCTTCCTCCTGGACCACCTGTCACCCAACGAGAGGAAAAGGATCAGCCGCCCTGCATCGCCCGCCCCTCAGACCAGGAGGTCACAGCCGCTCTGGAGCAACACCCCACCCCCAACAGGCTTTCTGGCCCTAAATGCAGGAGTCTCAGCTCCCACTAACCTAACTTCAGGCCCTTCTGTAGAATGGGATGGGACCAGTAAGAACCTTCTCCCCAGGCTTGTTCGGAGAAGCAAAGACAGGAACACGCCCATGTGAGGTGCCAGGCACAGCAGAGACCGGGGGATATGATTTTCTCCCCTTTGTTGCCCACGGCCCTTACAAACTACGGTCTGGATCTGACCTAGAAAGCAGGCGAATTGTCGGGAGTTGGATTTCCCAGATTCTGTCACTGGAGGGTTTCACGTGCTGACTTAGAGTTTGCTGGGCTAGGAAGGAGAAGAAAGCCTGTGTGCATGTGTGTGTGCGTGCATGTGCATACGAACGTGTGCTAGGTGGCAAGAAAAGTGTCCAGGGAAGAACATCACAGAGGCTGCAGATGTCACGGGGGCCTGTGATAGTGAGGAGGGGAAAATGGTGAATCTCTGCAGCTTAGAGTCAGCCAGGTGGGGCCTCAGCCCGTGGGTCTCCATCGACCAGCTGGGCAGCTTCGGCCACGTTGTCCCATCTCTCTGTCAATCTCTACATACTCGTCTGCAAAATAGGAGTGATAATACCCACCACACAGCGCTATTGGGAGGACCAACCAAGTCAATGGATACAAAAGTGGTTTATAAACCCGAAAGTTCTCGGCATCTAGTGGCTATTATATCATTTGAGTTATTAAAATTTTGGCTGATGTAAGAGGCCCATGTGTGAGTTCACAGTGCAGCCAAACGCAGTGAGGTTTTGTTCCATCTTCCTGGGGGAGGCGGACCTGAGGGAGCAAGACTCCCACCTGGTGCCTTCCTCCAGCAGAGCACCTGCGCCAGGGCCCCCGGGGTACTCACCCAGGTGTGACACAGTTGCACCTGCAACCTGCTGGATGCCCCAGGCCCCTGGGTCATCTGCCCTGAGATGCAGACACCTCCAGGGGCTTGACTCTGATCACAGAGTCCTGGAGTCAGTCCAGTCCACAAACAGCATTTTTGTCTGTACTGTGGCTATTTCTCAAATGCAAAAAGTTGCTTTTTGATTCCTAAAATTAAATTAATTTAAGAGTGTTTCTTGGAGCACCTGGATGGCTCAGATGGTTAAGCATCTGCCTTCGGCTCAGGTCATGATCTCCAGGTCCTGAGATCGAGCGCCCCTCAGCAGGGAGTCTGCTTCTCCCTCTGCCTGCCTCTCCCCCTGCTTATGCGTGCTCTCTCTCTCTCTCTCAGATGAATAAATAAAATCTTTTTTTTAAAAGAAGTGTTTCCTGTGTCCACAGCAGCCTCTGGCCATTTGGGGGCTGTCGGTCAGCAGAGAGAAAAACACGACCTGCACCTGCTGGAGGGTTGGTGATAATTTTTTGCTGTTAAAAAGGGGCCTTTTGAGGGGGTACCTGGGTGGGTTAAGCGTCCAACTCTTGTTTTTGGCTGTCATGGTCGCAGGGTCTTGAGATTGAGCCTCGCATCAGGCTCTGTGCTCAGTGGGGAGTCTGCTTGGGATTCTCTCTCTCCCTCTGCCCCTCTCCCCCCGCCACTCTCTCTCAGATAAATAAATAAAGCTTTTTTTAAAGTGAGGGGGGCTTTTAAATTGAGGGGGTGGAGGGAAAAAGGAGCAAACAAAAATGTCTGTCTATTTGTCTGGTTTTTCCTCACATGAAAGCGGCTGCGTGGATTTTTATCCCACAAGTCGGGTGAATGTGGGCGAGACTGACAGACGTAAGACAAGCCATGCAGCACTGACAGCACGCACCCCGTGGGGAACGGTAGCTGAAGGTGGGGTACGACAAGGGGATGGGGGACAGCGGTCTGGAGAGCTGGGCTCTGTGTGCCTAGGTGCCCGGGACAGACCCACCGGGGCAGCCTGCAGGCGCTCGGCGCATGGCCGGGAGCCGCGGGGACGCACTGCGATAAGGAGTTAACTCCTGATGGGACAGGAGTTGGGACAATGGACCCGAGGGAGCAAGACTCCCACCTGGTGCCTCCCTCCAGCAGAGCACCTGCGCCCTCCCAGGGCAGCACGAGCCCCGCGTACCTCCTTGTGCTTCATGGTGAGCGGGCACACGTCCCGCGTCAGGTCCATTTGGCACAGGTCCCGAGAGCCGTAGCCGTTGATGCAGTAGGCGTCGTAGCCGGCGCCGATGAGCAGGGAGCAGAGCAGCGTGCTGAAGTCGAAGCAGTTCCCCTTCTGGTGCTTGAGCACCGTGGTCGAGGAATACAGGTGCGAGGGCTGGCCGCAGACGGCTGGTCAGTACGGCCAGCCCCGTGGCCCCCAGCCGTCCTCCCCACCAGCCAGCAGCTGGGCACTAGGGCCAGTGTGCAGGCTGGACCCCCACCCCTCCCCGGGCTCCCCTGCTTTGTCAGGTTGGGAAGCCTGCTAAGAATGGGAGGGGAGCCACGGCCCGTGTGTAGAAAATACATTCCACATTTGCCTGTAATTTTTAGTGGCCATGGACTTCCTGATGGGAAAGACCCTCTGGATGATGGAAGCTTCTCGTCTAATGCTCTCTGATTGATCATTTAATGGTTTTTGTTCCAAAGTCCTCCTCACCTTCTTTTCTGATCCTTTCCTTCTCTTCCCTTTCTCAGCTCTCCACTGTGTACCTATCCCTTTCTCCCTTGCTCCCTCCATTCTCAGTTGGGAAACAGACTGAGCTGGACAGAAGGCCAAAGATAGGGCCAGGGGACACGGGCAGCAGGGTCCTCCCCCTCTCTCCTTTCCCCATCTCCTGAAGTCTTGAAAGGAAGACTCCGAAGGCAGAAGGAAGCAAAGGAGGCAAAGAGGTAGGAGCCAGGAGACCAGGCTTGCTGTGCGACCTCAGGCAAGTGGCCATCCCTCTCTGGGCCCATTTCCCCACTCCCCACCCCCGTGGGGGGTGAGCTCTGAGGGACTCAGACCAGATAGACTATGGACTGTGGCCTGAGCCTCACTGAGCCTCCTTCTCCCTACCTCCCTGGCTTCTCATCCTAAGCCTCAAGGGCCTAAGGATGCAGCCTGGGGTGGCACTTACCGGCTGAAGGGGGTCAGGCAGGGGCACCATGGAGAGGAAGTCTGAGACAAACTGGGCACAGCTGTCCCAGTTGTAGAGCTCGGGGTAGGGCATCAGCGTGGGCCGGATGGTTGTGCTCACGAACTTCTGCAAGGGGAGAGACCACAGGCCCCAGAGAGGGCATTCTACCCGGGGGAGGCCGGTGCTCCCTGGAAGCCAGGGCCCTGGGTGGGGAGGGAGTGGAGAAGGCTCTCTAGGCCTCTCTGGGCCTCAGGCTCCCCTCAGTGCCTCAGGAGTTGGAGAAAGGGCTCCCTCAACACCCCTCCAGCTTATTTATATTCTTATTCATACTTGTGCCCTACTGAGCGCTGCCGGACCAGGCACCACCTCCTCACACCCCAACGGCCCTGTATGTCAGGCCCACTGGCAGATGGGGAAACTGAGGCTCTGGGAGGTGAGCTGACTTGCTCAGGTTCACAGGCAATAGCAGCACTGGTCTGTCTGGCTCTCGACTGCCACCCAGGGTGGGAGAACTAGTGCTACCAGGGCCCTCGAGGGGCTTCTGTCCCCCCGGGCCCTGTGGTCTGGGGTCCCTAACGGCACCTCCAGGGTCTCCCTGTAGATGTGAGGAAGGCCTGCCAGCGCAGGAGCTCCCATGGCCCCACCCGGGCAGGCCGGCTGACTGCAGCAGGGGAAACGCATGCGGGATTACCGGCTCAAGAGAAGTGGGGAGCGGGGACCTGTATGGGAGTCGCTGAGTTTCACATGCTGGCAGCTCATACAAATGTTAAAAACCACCATGTGGACCAAGGAAAACAGCCTGTGAGTCCCTGTCAGCCTATGGGCGGCTGTTTTGCAAACCTTGCTTTTATCCTCTGCCATTTCATCTACTGATGGAGAGAAACTGAGGCCCGGAGAGACTCAGGACGTGCCTGGGTCACAGGGCTGGAAGGAAGGAGGCCAGTGCTCAGGTCCCGGTCCATTTCATCTTATTTCTCTGCCCTTCCTGGGACACAGCTGGTGTCGGGGGTTGGAAACTGCGCCAGGGGTCCAGCCGCCCCTTCGTGGGACGTGGGGTCTCCAGGCCACCACAAGCCCCCCGGGGTGATTCACATCGAGCCTGCTGGGGCCCACTGGCATTTGAGTTTATGCCATCCCCAGATAGAAGCTCTGACCCACGAGCTTTGGCCCACCTCCCTCCACCCTCTGCTCTCCAGCCCCTGCCCTCCCCTCCACAGCCCAGCCTTACGGGCACTTCGCACTCGTTCAGCGGGTGCAGGAAGAGGGGCACACGGTCCGGGCACAGGTGGCTATACTGGCGGGCGAAATTGTCTGCCACCTGCAGCAAGTGTTCCTCCTTGAGCGTGTTGCTTTGGTAGGAGAGGGGGAGCTTGGAGATGTCGAAGGTGTCCCTGGTAATGATCCTGTGCCCGCAAGAGCGGAGGCATTAGCCCAGGTGAGGCTAGGCCTGGCTCACAGGGAGCCGACCGTCCGCCCACCGTAGCTGGCTCCACCCCTTCCTCATGTCCTCACAACTGCCCAGAAGGGGTAGCATTATTATCATGTGCCCTTTTAAATAGACAAGGGAACAGAGGCCCAGAGAGGCTGAGTGACTCGCCCGGGGTCACATAGCTCCTGAGGGGCAGAGAGGGGACTCAGCCCAGGCAGATGGAAAGCAGAGCCCTCACTCAAATCTGCTTCCCTCTACATCCAATCCTGCCTCCCAACCCTGGAGCCACTATTCTGCCTGGCTCTTCTTTTGCCTGGCCCTGGTCTGACTCTCCGCAGGGCCACCCGGCCCAGAGCCCCCGCCCCCCCCCCCCCCCCCCCCCCCCCCCCCACCCCTGACACGCACGAGGGCTGCTCCGGGATGACGATCTCAATCTCTGACAGCTTCTTCTCTAGGTCTCTGAGCATCTCCTGCGTCATGGGCGGTTCCTCCCTCCGCATCTCCACGGGCCTCATAACCTTCTCGCCCCTCTCGGCTGCCTCTTCCCGCTCGGCCTCCTCCTCCTCCTCCACTTTCTCCTTCAGGACCTCCATCCCGGCACGTCCCCGGCTGTCTCGAGACAGAGTCCCCGTGGGAAGGAGAAATGCACTCAGAATGGCCCCCTTCTGCCACCAAGACCACCTGTGTCTCTGGGAGGCGGTTTAGAGGGGGGAAGCAAGCCCCTCTGAAACTCTCCTTCCATCACGCAGAAAGTCTTGCTTGGTGCCAGCACGTCTGTGACACCTTTCTGACATTTGCAGATCTCCCGCTAAGACAAAGACAGAGCAGGCGGCAGGTTGAAAGCTATGGTCAGGGCTGGAGCAGGTGGCCCAAACTTACCAACGCTGCTTTATTTATTTTATTCATTCAACAGTATTTTCCCTTGATGGCAAGTGACGCTAATGCGGTAGGGATTAGAGAAAAAAGGAAGGAAAGAAAGGTAACATCACCAAACTTGGAACCGAGACCCGGAGAAGGCAAGGGCAGGCTGCCGCCAGGCACCTGGACAAGGGGCAGGTGTGTGGGGATTGACATAGCCTGTCAGGCCAAGCCCTGTGTCGGCCCACAGGACAGAGGTCACAGAGAATGGCTTGGTGTGGGGAGAAACCCCCACACATTTGGTGACCAGAAGCGTCAGGGCTGAAGTGTCCTGTGTGAGAAGTAAAGGAGGTAAGACACTGAATTGAGTTCTTCCATTACAGACTCTAAGAGGCAGTCACTGCTTTGGTACCCACTTTGCAGATGAGAAAATTGAGACCTAGACAGGTTAAGTGCGGTGCCTAAGGTTTCAGAGCTATTAAGTAGCAGATCTGGAGTGTGAGCCCATATATTTATGGCTCTGGAGACCACACACTTCCGGGCCTACTGACATAGGGAAGCCCTACAAGGGGGGGGGGGGGGGGGGAGAGGTAAGTAAAGAAGGGTGTGGGGAGAAGGCCAAGGTGTCTGTGGGCAGCAGGGGGTTACAGCTGTGACAGGCACTGAGACGGGCCCCGAGCCCAAGGTCACAGAACACCTTTATCAGAGGTGGAGCTGGGCCAGAACCTGCCACACGTATTCCCCACACCAGGCTGCCCTGTCCGCTACAGCCCGGTTTGGGGAGGGCAGACCCTGCCCGGAGACCCTCCCCACCCCACAGGCCCTTTTCTGCCCCCCTCCTTAGCAGCAATCCCTCCCACACACATGGACACACACACACACACACACACACACACACACACACGCCTTCCCCAGAAAGATCAGGGCTGGAAGCCCCCAATCAGAAAAAAAACCCCTTCCCACCTCCACCCTACTTCTTACCCTGCCACCAGCTACCTCAGGTCCTCTGCTCCCTCCTCACCCCTCTGAGGACAGCCCGTGCCATCTGTTAGCCCATCTCCATGGTAACAGCTTTCGAAGCAGAGGGCGGGTTCTGGGAGAGGAGGCTTCTGGGAAATGTAGTCTTCTGTCACTGTCCAGGTCTGGGCCCAGAACACCATCTGTGGTAGGTCCCTCAGCAAGTGACTGGCTGGAGGCAGTTTGTGCCCACTTGCAAGAGCTGATTGTTAAAATTTCAGAAATGTTTGCAAGCCAGTTGACAAACTGCCATGATCACTCATTAAATTATAAAAACATAAATAAATAGATGATGTTAAAAGCAAAGGTAATTAAAACTCATCACTTGTTAAATATTTGACTACATTTTACCAGCAGGTATGTTCTTGAAGTTTCTCATGACTACTGTACCTGTATAGTGGAAATGTTACATAATGGGGAGCTACTCTGAATTTCTTCCCAGCTTCTCTTCAGTGATGTCATGTCGATAACTTAAAATTAGTAAATGTTGGGATGCCTGGGTGGCTCAGTTGGTTGGGGGTCCGACTCTTGATTTCAGCTCAGGTCTTGATCTCAGGGCTGTGAGTTCAGGCCCCACGTTGGGCTCCACGCTAGGCATAGAGCCTACTTAAAAAATAAAATAAGCAAATGTTATAGACCAGGGATTTTCCCCTCACTGAGCCCATTGTTAAGCACTTACCAGGACACGCCTCTGCCTCTGCCCCATGCATGGTCTGTGTGGCCTTCATCAAGACGGATGGAAACCAGTGTGGGTCCTAGCGTATCTGTTTATCATGGTGGAGTCTTGTGTTCTCCTCCAGGCTGGGCCTCTGATTTCGTTTATAACTCATGAGACAGAGAAAACTTATCCAGAAGGTTAGTGGCCCATGGAAATTAATTTTAATCTTTCAAATTCAGAAGAAAAAATGAATAAACTAATGATAAGTATATAATTATGAGTCCACCCTGGGTTATATTCATCATTGTACCAATGCAGTCAAAAAAAATATATTTTTACTTTTTTGTTACTGGGGGAAGGGGCCCGTGAATGTCGTAAAGCAGCCCTGTGGGGCGTGGTGGGAGGGGGTGTCTGGAGAAACACCATCCTGACAAGGTTGGACAGTTGCTGCTACTTAGGGGAGACATAGCAATCACCTCAATTCTCAACAGTAAATAATGATTTTAAATTCTGGCCAGAATATTACTCAGTCATGAAAAAGACAGTGTGAAGGCTAAATTAAACTGAGGGAAAGGTCACGGGGCAGTGCGTCCTACGATTACTTCTGGGAATTTCCCTTGGGGTGAGGGTGAACAAGGAGGGGGAAAGGTAAACGGGTGGTGTGTCAGGCTCTTCTCATTCTTCTGTATATTTATTTATTCCCTTTTATCCCTATACCCAATCCCATTCTCCGACCTTCATAGGCACCCATTCTGATCCATTTTTTTTCCCCAAAATGAACACTATTTTGCATGCTGCTGTTTTTAACTCGTGTACATGATATTGTGTTAATACCACCTCTGTTTCTTTTATTTTCACTAAGAACTGTGTTTTTAGATCCATCCATGTTGCTGTGTGTCCACAGTAGGGATCCACTCTATTCTCCCAGTGATGGACCCCATCCCCAAACCCCTTTGCCACCAACCCCTTCTTTTCCACTACAGATAATGCCACACATGTCATCGGCCATGTCCCTTTTGGACCTGTAAGAGTGTTCCTCTGGGAGGGGCGCCTGGGTGGCTCAGTCATTAAGCGTCTGCCTTCGGCTCAGGTCATGGTCCCAGGGTCCTGGGATCGAGCCCCGCATCGGGCTCCCTGCTCAGCGGGAAGCCTGCTTCTCCCTCTCCCACTCCCCCTGCTTGTGTTCCCTCTCTCGCTGTGTCTCTCTCTGTCAAATAAACAAATAAAATCTTTAAAAAAAAAAAAGTTCTTCTGGGGTACAGAACCAGGAGCTGGATTGCTAAGTGAGTGGCGGCACCCCGTTTTTCTCCAGGCCATGAAAGCTACACTCTACCCAACTTCCTCAAGCCCTGAGAGAGCCTAGTACCCTCGCCCCCCACCCAGCAGTTGACATTATCCAGCTTCCTAACCTGCCCTTTGCCGGTTTCATACAATGAAGATACAGTGAGGTCCCCCTGTCATCTTAAAGGGCAACTCTGTGATTGCTGATGATTTTAAGTGTGTCTTCATGGGCTAGCTTGTTACATTTAGAGAGTTCATTCTCTGAAATTGCCATTTAAAACCTCAGCCCATTTTTCTCTATTAGGGAAGTACCCTTGTTTTGATTTGCAGGCCTTCCTGATGTTAATCCCTGGTTTCAGATGTTGCAAATACCTTCCCCCATTCTGTCCCATGCCTGCTAACATTGCCTATGGTGTCTTCCATGGAACAGAAAACTTTAATTTTGATGTAATTAAATGTACCAGCTTTTGGTCTGATGTTTTGTGCTTGTGATTTTTTGTTTGAGAAGTCTTTCCTTGTCCTTAGGTCACAAAAATATTTTACTACATTAACTTTATCGTTTTGCCATTCCATCGAGAACGTTTACTCTGCCTGGAGCCCATCTCTGAATGAGGAGTTAGGTAGGGATCCTGTTTTATTTTCCTTCATATAATGAGTCAGTTTTCCACCATCATCATCAGACTATCTGTCCCTTATTGGTGATGCCACTATTGTTGTGCCATAAGACCCTAGGTGTGTATAAATCTGCCTCTGAGCCCTTTGTTCTGTTCCACTGGTCTTCTTGCCTATCCCTGCTCAGACCCCATGTTGGATTTACCACTATGGCCTCATAATATCTTTACATCTGCAGGTCAAGTCTTCTTTCTACTCCTTTCATTAAGGTTGACTTAGCTATTTGAGGCCGATATGCCTCCGTACGAAAGTTCAAGTACATTTTGGGGAAATCTAAAAAAAAAATCATTTGAAATCTTTATTGGAACTGCATTGTATTCATAGGTTAATTTGTGAAGAATTGTTGTCTTTTGATATTAAGTTATCCATCTGGGAGCACAGAGCCAGTAAGTCTTCTTATTTCCTGTACATTTGTTATAACGTAATGAAAAATACAAGGAATGAAGAAGATGGGGTGGAGCAGAAAGAACCAGGCAGGGAGGCATGGTGGGGGGTCCTCCTTGCAGATGACCACGGTAGTCTGGAGCAAACCTGTGGCTCAGTCACTTTCACGCTGGGCCAGGGGTCCAGACACCAGGCAGCCCTCCCAGCCAGGATCTCCCTGAAGCCTTCATTCATTCTGTGGGGCAGGTACTGCTATGCTTGCTTTCTGGGCTCAGTAGGTGAGGAATTGGCCCAATGCAAGTTGCAGAGGAAGAATGTGGTCCAGACAGGCTGACCTCAGAGTTTGTGCCTTTAGGCTGGTGCTGCCCACCTCTTAGATTGCTGCTGTGGTCGTGCAGTGATAGTGGAAGCCCATCCATCCGCACTGGGCCTTGGGGTGTTTTTTTGCCAGAGCACCACCTCGCCTTAGCATGTGCTCAGCTTGGCACTCGGAGCCACTTTTAGGGTGACCCCAGGTAATAAGGGATGCCAGCCCCTCTGCCCCTGCCTGGTCCTGGACTAGACAGCCAGTGGAAATGGACACATCCCCACCATTAACCACATCTCCCCATCTTCCGTCTCCATCAGCACCAGGAAACCCAGGCCATTCAGCCGTTGTGGTTTTGTTGCCCCTGCATCCAACTGGGAAAGCCAGAGCCCAGCGTTTCCCTGGAGACTCAGGGTTCGGGGCTGAGGCAATAATTCTAGAACCCAGGAAATGCTCTGGGAGGAAGCATGGGCAGCCCAGGGAAGCCCAGCTCTGCATCAGCCCCCGTGCAGAGTAGCCCTGGGCAAGTTGCTGGACCTCTCTGGGCCTCCATTTCCTCCTCCCACACAGGGCTGGCCCACTTGGCAGGGCTGTACAAGGAATCTGGAAGGGAGCTTTAACCCTTCATACCCCTTCCATGTTACACACAGGTCTCAAAGGTTCATGGTTCACACAAAGGGGCCACCTACTCTTTCCTTAAGCCATGGGGGTCTCTAATACCAGGCTCTTTACTTATGTCACCTCACTTAAAGCTCTCAGGTCAAGGCAAAAACTTGATGATCCCCATTTTATGGGCGGAGCCACTGAGACTCAGAGAGGTGAGGAGACATGCCCAGCATCACACAGCCCCTGAGTAGCAGAGTCAGGATTTGAACCCAGGCCTGTCAGACACAGAAGCAGCTGTGGACCACACAGGTTTGTGTTCAGAGACTCTGAGACTTTGGGGTAAGGGAGCCCAGCCCTCCAGCGTGAGAAATAGATGTCTGTAAAAGTAAGTCTCCAAACCCACCAAGCTTGTCCACAAAACCTGATACAATGTGGCTCCACTTTTGCAATTGTCCACACCCTAGAATTTCTCTTCGACTTGCATAAAGCAGGGGCCTCTGCCTTCCTGCCTTGCATCCGTTTGCTGGGTGGGAGGAGGGAGAAGAGAGGGCATTCACTCAGCACGGACATCGGACATCGGGGAGCAGGAGGAGGGCTGCAAGCCCAGAGGCTGTGGGGGACGGTCTCGTAATAGTGGCTTCTCACCTCGGCAGGTGCTTGACCTCGGCAAAGCACACTGGCAAGGACAGGGGTGAGGAGGGAAGGTGAGATGGCCCCAGTGGTGGGGGACTTCAGGCTAGAGGTGGGGCATGATCGTGTGGGGCGGGGCCAGCCAGGGGGCTGCTGTCTTTCTGTCCCCTCCACTCTTTTTTTCTTTCCCTGTGTTAGTTTACCTATTCATTCCTTCTCTCTCTCTCTCTCTCTCTCTCTCTCTCTCTCTCTCTCTCTTATCTCTGCCCCTTCTGTTTCCTACTGAGGAAACCAGCACGATGTTGCGAAACGGAGGCCCAGCCGCGGGAGGTGACACGTACCCCCGCCGGGTCTGGCCTGAGACACTCCCCTGGCTCAGAACCTTGCCCGGCCGATGCCAAACTCACTCCTCCAGCTATTCAGCCAACAGGTGTTTACTCAGGGCCTGAACAGTACCAGGCTCGGGCTGGGCTGAACTGGTGAATGAGGCTGATCTGCCTCCTCGATTGGAGCTCAGATCCGGGGGGGAAAGCCTGCCCTCTCTCTGCTCAGCGCCGCCCGCTGCCCCCCTGCCCTGCCCCTCGGCCCTCGAGTGTGCAGAGCTCTGGAACATTTGCCCTCCAGCCGACGGTGACGGTGACGGTGACGGCAGATGAGAGGTCGGGCCACACATGCAGCAGTCAGAGTGGGGAGGGGGCTGCTAGTCCCCACTACTGAAGAAGTGGCATTCTCTGAAATTCTGTGTCCCCGGACAGCCAGAGTGTTGGCAGCCCCCTGAACGGTGGGGGCTCATGCGTGAAGACAGGCCCAAAGCTCTAGTCCACAGCTGCCCCAGTGCCTGAGGGGATGAGGGCAGGCCGCCAGAGGGTGGGGGTGTGGGAGGGCAGTGGCCGG